TGGGCCGCCTCCCTGGGGGCTCAGAACAGAGCCCGCGGAGAGAGCCGCCAGGCTCGCACTGCCCTCCCTCACCTCGCGCAGGGAGCCGCCGGGACCTGCGCCATGGCCATCGCCATCCCCGCCCCAGCCCGGCCCGCTCCGGCCGCTCCACCACGCACTGCCCCGGCTCGGCGCCTCTACTGGCTCCGCCCCCCCTCCCCCCCCAGCCTGCGGGCCCTTTAAGAATTCAGCGCGGAGGCGGGCCCTGCGCAGGATTTGCGGCGGGGGGGGAAAGGTGTGCCTGACTTTGGAGCAGCCCGCGCTGCGTTTTGGGCTCCAAGGTCCCCAGATCCTCTGCCGAGGAATGTGACCATCAATATGGAACCGTGAGACCCCTCCAAATGGGGCTTTCTTGTGGAGTCTCAGCCGTGAGGGCCAGTCAGCCCCAAATTCCCCCCCGCAGCCTGCGGCCGGTGGTACAGTCCTCGCTGCTCTGCGACGCGGCCAGCCGCTTAAAGGGACAGCATAAAGGACGGGGGTCGGGGAGGGAATAAAGAAGGTGGCGTTCCGTCACCCGGCCAGAAGGAGGTGCTGTGGGACCCCGAGGCCTTGGCCGGGGGTACTAGTGAATCTGGCTCAGCATCCCTGAGCGTAGTCTCCAGTCCTGGGGCCCCTTTGTATGGTAAGGGGGACGGTGACCAGAGCCGACCTCCGGTCTCGCAAGACAGTAATGTGCCGCCCCCTACGGATCAGGGCTCACTTCACCCGACCCTGGTCTGAAGGGAATCCCCGCCCCCTGCCAGACTTGGGGAGGGGGCCTAGCACCCGCGTCTTAGCTCTTCCAGGACTGCGTGGAGGCAGTGGTTGTCCGGGCAACACGAGCTGTGGGTCGCAGCTAGGCCCGCCCGGCTGGGGCCAGTAAGCCCAGCGGGCCCTGGGGATAGGGCGTCCCCCTGCCCCCGACCTGCATCAGGCACAGGTCAATCCCTGGGCTCCCATCGCCTCCTGTCCAGTCTCTGGGGGGCCTGTGGGAGCCCCCAAGGCTTCCTTTCAACTCTGAGGAAGCTGCCACCCTTGCAGAAGTTCCTGGACAGATGGCAGAGAAAGCCGGCCCGGCCAGAGGGTTTCCCCTGGGCCTCTGCCCAGTATCCTAAGTCCTTTGGTCCTGCAAGCCCCTCCCTCTGGGGAGCAGGCTTGGAGCTGGAATGGGGGGAGTATTCCTTGCCTCTTCCTAGATCCGCTCCCCCGGGATCCTCAGCTCCCCAAAGGGCCCGGGTCTGTATGGCCAGCCCATTCCCCGCCCGCGCGCCTGGGAGGAGAGGCAGGGAGCGCTGCTGTGAGCGCATGTACCAGGGTGCAGACCAGTCGTCTGCCCTGGGCTCACCTGTGTGGGAGTCCGTCGGCCCAGTAGGTCGGCGGCCTCCCTCCTTCCCGGGGTAAGTCTCCAGACAAGCTACTCGCACCAGCTGCTGCCCTCCGGGCAGCCCGCCGGCAGCTTGATAAACCCCATCCCTCCCACCCGCTCCCGCCTCCCGCCCCGGCCCTTTCTCCTCACTTCCTGCTGCCCCTCAGAGAGGAAAGGGCCAGGAACATGCGCGGGGGAGGGGACCGCCTTGACCGTTTCCCTCCGGCGTGCCCTACAGGCTGGCTGCCCGCTCCACCCTTCCCCTGAGTAGGCCCTGGCCCAGCAAACTGCACCAGGTGACAGGAAGGCTGGGGAACCTGGTTCAGGTGTCAGCCTCCCCCATGCTCCAGCTTCCTTAACACTGAAAGCTTTTCTCCCCAACCTGCCCTTAAGGTTGAGGCCCATCCTCAAATCCAGCAGCTTGTGAGTGGAGAGGCCCTGGTGGTAGTGTTTTGGGGAGTCAAACTACTTGGGGGATGTTTAGCAGATGATCCCCCAAAGCAGGTGGTGAAGAAGAGAACCAGCCCTGGGGCGGGGGTGTTGGGGGAACTTACAGGAGCTGAGTCAATTTTTTTCCACTGAGAGCGGAAGAATCCCAAGTGTGACAGAGTGGACAATGTGTTGATGTGGGTGACTGCTGGGGGGAGGGGCAGGGCCTGGGAGGGTTCTGCAGGGTGCTCTCCTGCCAGAGGATGTTCCTGGGTGGATTTCACTACGATGCTGCAGAGTAAGGGGCTCCTTAACACATGGGTGAGGAAAGGGGTGTATTCCTGTGGGAAAGGGGTGCCCATAACATGGCTAGCTCCCAGGAGGGCTGCAGCAGGGTCCCCGCAGACCCCTCCAGAGGTACAAATCTGCACACCCTCAAATCACCCTGAGCCTACCCGCCCCCCGACCCTACCAGCCCACCTCCTTCATGCCCAGGCCCTCTCTCCTAACAGAAGGCTGTGTTAAGACTGGGGGACTGGAGGAGATGGGAACATATCCTAGCGTCTACCCTGATGACCAAGGAATCCAGAACATGGCATGGGAGGGTGGTGTCCCTGGACCACTGTGCTGGCTCCACAAGGGACACAGGCCTTAAAAGCTCCAAGGCTGGGGGCCCCTGGGGAAACAAAGGCCAGACCAGACTGTCCCAGGGCAGGGACACTTCCTCAGGAAGGAAGGAAGTGAGCACAGCCCAGTAGGAGGGAGTGGGGAAGCACAGCCGTGACCCCCATTGTTTCCAGCTTTGGGGTCAGCTAGGGCAGGCCCAGCACAGGGAGTTCCCCCCCACTGGGACAGTGGTGATGGGCTGCCACCCAGCATGGCAGAACCCTGGCCTTGGGGCAGTCAGTGGGAGGGACAGTGGAGGACGACGATAGGGCCTTATGCCTGGCATCTTATTGGGAAAACGGGAAGGTGCCCAAAGAAAAACTGCAAGTCCAGGCTGCAGAGGGTGATCCTGCTTCACACTTGACAAGTTTAAACCTCCAAAAGACAGGTAGGCCAGCTTCCCAGACCCAGCAGCCTGTGTTCTTAAACTCCCTCCTCCCTTACTGGGAGATGGGCTGATGGTCAAGGGCTAGGCCTAGTAGAGAACCAGCCTCATCGTGGGACCTGAGAAGTGTAGGCCAAATGTCCACAGGGAGCAGACTGCAGGTGAGAAGACAGGGCAGAAAGGACCAGAGGAAGTATTGGGTAGCATTGGGTAGCTGAGCTTTACCTGCTGGAACAGAAGCCCCAAGCCTACTCTCCTGGTAGTGCAAGTAGGTTTGGGCTGCAGGGCCTCGCAGTAGGTCAAGGGCAGTGGTACCCACTTGGCTGCCGTCCACCTAAGGCTGGGCCTTGGAGGCCCATGGGGCTCAGGCTGTGACCTCATGTGGCATCAGCTGGCACAGCTGGGGGCAGGACAACTGTTCCAGACCTATGTGTGGTCACACTCTCACCTCAGGTCAGGCAGGTGGGGCCAATCCCTAGTGAGGTACTCCAGGGCCTTCCAATTCCAGGGGTCCCTGCTTATTGAACACAATACACAAGTACGAATGGCTCTCCATCCTGAGGGGGGTCTGCAATGAGGTCTGTGTGAATACACTGCCACCTGCTGATTGTAGCTGGAATGGCCGCAGGCTAGGCTCATGCTCACTCTGGGCCTCACTGGAGATGTGGGCAACAAGAGTCCCCCACCCAGGCCCACCTACTATGCCTAGGTGGTGACCTAGATACTGGGTAGCAAGCCTCAGAGATTTCATTCTTGTATTCAGGGTCTACAAATAATTTTATTGAACAAATAACACAACAGCCTTCCTAGATTGAGGGCTACCCTCCCCAAGCCATTTCTCACACGCTTAAAGAACAGAGTTTGCACAGTAAGGAATTAAAAAAAAAAAAAAGTCATTTTTATGTAGAAATCAGACTCTGCCCCAACATCATGGACTAGACTATTTACAAGCTTTCACATTTTAAGTATTCCTTTATGATTGTTCTCTCCTTTCTGTCCCTACCCAGGGCTCCAGTACTTTTCTCTTACTGATCCTAAAGGGATGGGTATACTGTAGGGGAATGGGTGGTGGGCTCCTCAGAGCTACTGGCACCAGCCCTAGGGTGCTGTCCCTTATCACAGGGTGGTGGATGTGTAAGGGCAAGGGGGATTAGACACAGTAGGTGGGATGTGGCAACACCCCATAGGCACAGGCATCCAGAGCCCTTCCTGATCCCCATCCTATGCCCTCTCAGTTGGGGTAGGGGTCAACAACTAGTTGCAGTGGGGAGGGATCAGCCCAGCCCAGGGTAGAGGGAGAAACCTCCCACACCTATTAACAGCCAGCAAACTGTCCATCCATCTGGGGGTGGGAACAGATGGGCAGGTAGGCAGGAAGAATCAGGCTTGTTCTGCCCCCAGCTTCTGTCCAACACAGGAGGAATCGAGGTAGCAAACGGCTGAAATGCTCCAACGAGAGGGTAAAGGAAGTGAGGGAAAGGAAGTTCCCACTTGTGTACAGCTCCCACAGCCCTGGGGCTGGAAAAAGGCAGACCTTACTTGTAAAGTGCTGTAGCCTCCAGCAGGGCTGGGCCCTAGGCAAGCTTGGAAGAATGCAGGCCAGGCAAGGGCACAGGAACCAGGCATTCCTGGAGAGCCTTATGCCCGCCATGCTC